CCATGCATTGAATGTTTGTTTTAGTAATTTTGAGGTTTTTTTTTAAAGCATTTTATGCTTAAAGTTTTGCTCATATTATTTTTTAGTCCCTTTTTTAAATAAATTTTATTTTGATCCACAACTTTATTTTAATTATAATTTCATCCCTCATGACACACACACACACACAGAGAAAGGAAATGTCACAATATTTTTTTCTACATGTCAAAGTGATGGAAAAGAAAGAATATCCTTTACAGTTTCCACCCAGTTTGTCAACTTTTTTGGAAATTATACAAACAAAGATGTCTCTGGTCACAATAGAAAAACTCTCCTATGAGGAATTGTATAATCATTGGAATTATAACAATGGAACAAAAAAAACAAAACCTAAGTAACGAGTTTATAAATAGAGTAGAAGTTCTAGACAAAAGGTTTCTTATTCTGAATATACTAGAAAAAAGACTAGATTGTGTAATGATGAAACTAAAAGAAATAATTACCTAAAATATATGATCCTTTTTTGAGTTGGCTCTATCGTGGAAAAGTCCATTTTTTTTCACCCTCAATCATTAATGAAATTTCCATGAAAAATTACATAGAGATACTTTGGATAAATAAAATTTATCTTATCCTTCTTATTTCTAATTATCAATAAATCTAGCCATAAGAAGAATACTTGGCCGATAAATAACTCACTTCTTGGTCTTTGATCTCCTCAATTACTATGAACGCCCTCGATCAATGCAATGGGATGTGTCTATTTATCTATCTTTTAACTTGAAATGGGAGCAGGTTTGAAAAAAGATCTTAGGGTGTCTAAGTTGGGACCCGAAGGGTCTCCTATCTTACATTTTTTTTTATAAAAAAGTTTACAATATATATATAAACCTTTTTTTTTAAATGTAAGATATTTGTCTTAGATTTTTTTTTTAAAAAAAATATAAGAAAAGTTTTTAGTTAAGAATTCCGGATATAGAAGAATAAATCATGCTCTTTTTAACAAAAAAAATTATGAAAAACATAATCAATAATTAGTTAAACATAATTTTTTTAAAAAAATTATTTTTACTTTTGATTTGATATATTTTAGTAGATCCATAACATAGTATGCACCATCTAACTAAAATTATTATTTTTAAATAATTTTACATATTCCGTTCGATCACAATGTAGCGCGGATAAAAACTAGTTTATTTCTAAATGAAATAATCATTGTTGGTAATTAGATTAATATTGTTAAGGATAAAAATGAATATGACAAGATTGTCCGGAACCTAAAAATAGAGAACATTGAACATAAACCGGTTACAATTCCTTTAGAAATGTTAAAATCCTAACAAAAATTATATATTATTGGTAATTAATATTAATAAGGAGGGTAAAGATGAATACATTATAAAAAAAATTAAAGAATTTTACACGAATAGATAGATAAAATAAATTATCTAAAAATTATTATATTGTTATAAAAAAATGATAACAATAGTAGAATTATAAAAAAAGATGATAAGAAAATAAATTCACTATAAGATAAAGTGAATACAAGAGATAACAACTCTAAATAATCTCTCAATCACTAAAAAATACTTATACACAAACTAATGAATAATGAAACCTATTTATGGGCTTCAAGATTATGAAGATAATTGAAAGAGACTATGAACCATTAAAAGATGCATAAATAATTGAATAAATTGCATCATCCTTTAAATTTCTCATATTGAATGGTAAATTGAATCGCATGAGTAGTGAGACTATGAAATTGACATTTATGATAGTCTCCCTTAAATGTCCATCGTATAAGGAACATGACTCATTAATAGCTTATTAGGAAAGAATCAAGTGGGAAAAAAATCTTAGTGAAGGAAAAAGAGTATAATATTTCTTATACATATTAATATCTATATTAGGTTCCCTCCGTTAAAAAACATTATTTACAATCTTTAAGATAACGTATCTTAGTCTTGCATACCATTTTCTCAAAATTTATGGTATGTATTGCCTCGATGAATAAGTTTTTCGGATTGCTACTTTGATTCATTCCTCGCTTTAATTGAATTATGCAAGAAACGTTATCTTTATATAATATTGTTAGAGTTTCTTTACCGGTAGATAAACCGCATGTCTTTCGGATATGATGGATCATTGATCTTATTCAAACACATTCTTGACTTGCTTCTTAAATTGGTACTTCGTATGATTTGAATATTTAGCAGCTATAGTTTATTTCATAAAACATTATGATATAGCTATATCACCAAGTGTACATGTTTGTAATCGAGTTTTATATAAATCATATAAATAATCCGTATCCGTATAACCAATTAAACCCGATTTTAATTTATTTAAATAAAATAAATACCATATAAATTTTTCTCGGAGATAATGTAGAAAATGTTTAATTCCATTCCAATGTATCCGTATTGGAGTAGAACTATGACTTGCTAATAAATTTATAAAAAAAGTTATATTAGGTCGAGTATTATTAGCAAGATATATCAATATAACATTGGCACTAAGTTGTGGTACTTTAAGACGAAGTAGTTCTTCATTATCTTCTCGAGGCCAAAAATGGTCTTTTTTGAATATCAAGCGAACGAATTATCATTGGGTTAGTCGATGGATGATATTTATATAGAATAGTTGTAGAACTTTTTCTATATAAATTGACTAATGAATAAAAATATCATTCTTTAAGCACTCAAACTATAGGTCAAGATAAAATTTTGTTTCTCAAGATATTCACATCAAATTCTCTTTTTAGATATCTTATGACACTTTGAATCTCTATGGGAGTTTCAATAATATTTAAATAATGAAGATATGTAACAATTATCATTAACCTTTTATTGAATTTCCTTAGAAAAATGCATCAGCAAATATGGTTATTTTTATAACCTTCTTTTAATAAATATTTATAAAACAATTACACCACGTGCAAATAAGTTAGTAATAATGAGTAGTTATTGAAAAATAAAAAATAAAAATAAAAAAGTTTAGCATAAACTGAATTTCTAAAAACTAAGATAATAAAACAAATACTAAAATAATTTCGATAGAAATCTCTATAATTTAATTGAATTCAGTTCTCGAGAATATATATTACATGCTTCGAGCATCTTAAGTCCTTTTAGGACTTTTATATAGATATCATTTTCAACTAAATAAATAAGTTATGATCACATCCATTAAATGTATACATATGAAGTTTTTCATATATTTTGTTAAGCTAACAAGATAACGAAATGTAATTACATCAATTATAGGTGTCGACATCGACCCTATGAGGAGGTCAAACAAGGAGTCATCACCTAACTAATTAGAGAGATTTACTAGTCTACATGGATATTTTAATAAAGGGTCGATTATGTATGGGAAAGATATGACATCACTATCCCATCTTACCTAAGGTAAGGTCGCATTGTTTGCCTATGAACATAAAAATTTAGTTTTTACTCTGTTATACTTCTATGCTTATTTAAATGAGTTTATTTTATAAAAATATAAAACATGATAGTTTAGGTGTAAAACGGGATAGTTTAAGAGTTCGGATCAATATAAGGCTAATACTCCCTACCTAAACGAAAAATGGTGGAGGGAGTTAAAATTTTGACTAATCATTAGTGAACATGACCTATTATCAATAAATAGGTGAGTTTTTAAAGATGAATAGCTTTTTATTGGCATAAGCAATGAGTCATCGACAACTTCACTCACACAAGTGGGAAGCCACCGACGATTTCGAGTAATGAATTTAGAAAGATGACGATAACTTCGTCACATAAGTGAGAAGCTACTTACCACTTTATTTAGCTCATGCAAGGAGTAGATAACTATTTGGAAGCCACTGGTAGCTTCGTCACATAAATGGAAAGGCACTAGTGGCTTCGTTTCAAATAAGGAAACATTAAATAAAAATTATTTTGAAGCCACCGATGGCTTCATCACATAAGTGAAAAGCCACTAACAACTTCGTTTTGATGAAACAAGAAACGAGAAAACAAGAATAGAAAATAAGAAATAAGGAAACGAGCAACATAAGATAGGACGAGTATAGAAAACGGACAAAATGACTTTGAAACCACCAATGGTTTCGTCACATAAGTGAAAAGTCACCGGTAGCCTCATTTTAGCATTTCAACCAGCCATGATTCAAATTAAGCAAAAGGAAATAGGAAACATGAACAGATAATAGAAACAGAAAGCAAGAAACAAGCAAAATGATTTCAAAACCATTGATGGCTTTATCATATAAGTAGGAAGCCACCGACGGTTTATTTTATGATTACAACTAGCAACAAAAAGATCAATTAAACCACATAAATTGGCATAAACTTTGCACTTAAGTATACGGGGATAAAATAGAAAAACAGGATAATTAGTCCTAAAATAAACATTATAGGAATATTCACTTCAACCATATTCAAACCATATGTCATGAAAAAATTTCATTTAGGCAATCGGACATAGTTAATTAATCAACCATAAAAAATAAGACAAACTTCACATTTAGACTTATAGGAGTCAAATAATAAAATAGTATAGTTTGTCCTTTAATATACATTACAACAATGTTTCCTTCAATCACATTTAAATATGGATATGTAAACAAAATACAACAGTTTCATTCACACAATCAAATTCTCCTGTCATTTTTAACCCTCATTTTTCAAAGAAAGAGTGCAATAGTTTTGAAATTTTATCTAAAAGTTCGGTAATTTTAATATCTAACTTGAAGTCGGTTCTACTCTCTTCGTTCTCAATGATAACTCGACATTCGGTTAGCGGGGAAAAGAGAACGACTACTTCTTGGAAAAATATATTATGGATCCCACTAGAATGACTAAAAACTTCTTTGTTGCTCATGTAAATACTCCAAAAGTTAATGTAAAATTTACGAAGTTTTCTTAAAACTCAAGGTGGTTTTTTTTGCTATATTTTCCTGTAAAAAAAACAAACCAATAATAAATTTTCGTTCTTTATGCTTCTTTTCTGTTTTTTTTTTAAATATGCTAACAATGGAGGCCTACTTAGTTGGCCCAATAGCTAGCCTACTAGCTAGTCAACTAGCTTACTGGTTGGAGTCGAGTATGCTATGTAGAGGAGCTACAAGGTGCGGGGTACGGGAAGGCCGGTGGTAGAAGGCTATGTTGTGGGGCTATTTAAGAGGTCTGGAATGTATGTGACTATGCATGAAAGAGAAGTTGATGCTATGAGCAAAGAGGGCTATATGGGGTCATTGCACGAGGAAGATGGTAAGGTATGATTGGTGCACGAGTTGCACGGTGTGCTACGTGGAAGAACGGTCTATGAGGAGGTCTAACATACAAGATGAGCTGCTTTGTGGGCTACGGGAGCTTGCTGGTTGAAGCAAGGTAGTAGGGGTGCTTCCTGGTTGGAGCACGATAACAAGGATGCCTGTGAGTTGGAGTAGGTGCTTGCTCACGAAGGGAAAGTCTGGTAGGCCCGAGCATGCGCACGAGGAGGTTGGGACTCGTGGGTCCGTGTGTGCACATGAGGAAGCTAAAGGCTTGGATGTCGGTTTACATGGGTGTTTATGAAGGTTGATTTGTATGGGTAAAAAAGGAAAACGAGTTAGAACTTAGGTTAATGAAAGGGGCAACATGGGTTTTAAGTGAATGAGTTGTGTGGGGGCTTTTGGTGGTCGGAGTCGACTAGAGCACTAACAAAGGGTTATTGGTATAGGTGATGAAGGCTTGCAAGAGGGGTTATGACAAGGGGAAGTTTCGGGTATGGGGGAGCTTATGTGTGGGTGTGAGGTGTGGGTAAAAGGGAGCTTACGTGTGGGTGTTTGCGAGGAGGAGGAGATGAAGGGGTTGTGATGGCTTGTCAAAAAGAGATGGTCGTTATGCAAGGGTTTTGAGTGAGGATGAGTTACGAGTGGTGAGGGAGAAGGGTGGATGGATGAAGATGACAATGAATAGTAGAAGGTTTATATAAATTGCATGGAAGTGGCTTTTATAGGTAGGATTTTTTTTAGTGAAAATTCAATTTGGTCCTTGGCTCTCCACAATCTCCTAATTTGAGTTTAATTTTTTTTTTGGTTTCAATAAAGCCCCTAAATTTGAATTAATTAGGACTTTTCTTTTTCATTTCTCTCAATTATGCCCCCTTATTATTTTAATTAAAGGACCTAAGTTTTTGATTAGGCTCTCAATTGCCTTTTTTTATTACTTCCAAACCTTCTAATTTTTTTTTCAATTAGCCCCTCCCTCTTTTTTATCTTTTAATTAACCTAAACTAATTATTCCTGTTGAATTTTTCTTTGTTCTTTTTATTTGGCATTTTGTTTCGCTTATGATTTTTTCATTTTTTTTCGTTTCATTTTTTGTATTTGTTTCTTTTCATTTTTTTTTGTTATTTTACAATAAAAATAAAAATAGAAGAAAAAGAAATAAGGGTAAAAATTTGGATGATAACAATTGCTCAATTTTACAATACTTACGACATAGAGTCATTGAAAAACATTTTTTTTTGACTTTACATAGTAAGCTTACAAAGAAATAAAAAAACATTTGGGAAGACATGACTAACCATGTTGGTTTTTAAAAGGATATGACTGATAATGTCAATTATAAAAGAGCATGATTGACCACATTCATTTGAAAGGATATGATCGATCATATCAATTCTATAGGGACATGATCGATCATGTCTAATTAAAAGGAAACATGATTGAACACAATGATTTGAAGGAACATGATTGATCACACTTGAATTTAGAAGATACGACTATCTACATAAAATTAAAAGGAAACGTGATTAACCATACCGATTTGAAAGGGTGCAACTAACCATGTCAACTTTAGAAAACATGACTAACCATGTCAAAAGAAAACATGATCGACCACATTGATTTGAAGGGACGTGATCGACTATCTTGATTTTAGAAGATATGACTAACCATATCGAAGAAACGTGACTTAACACATTGATTTAAGAGACGCGAATGACCATGTCGACTTTAGAAGACATGATTAACCATGTCAAAAGGAAATGTGATTGACCATATTGATTTGAAGGGGCACGATTAACCAAGCCAACTTTAAAGACATGATCGACTATATCAAAAGAAAATGTGACGAGACAATATTGATTGAAGGGGTGCGATTGACCATACCGACTTTAGAAGACATGACTTACCATATCAAAAGAAAACATGATTGACCATGTTGATTTGAAGGGGTACGATTGATCATGCGGACATTGTAAGATATAACTCACCATGTCAAAAAAAAAAAAAAAAGCTGACCATATTGATTTGAAGGGTGCGACCGACCTTGCTAACTTTGCGAGACTTGATCGACCATTTAAAAAAAATGATCGACCACGTTGATTAGAAAGGGCATGACTAACCATACCGACTTTGCAAGACATGATCGACCGTGTCAAAGAAAAATGTGAATGACCACGTTAACTTTGTAGGACATAACCGAATAAGTCAAATTAAAAAAAAAAACACGATTGACCATGTTGATTTAAATGAGCATGACCGACCACGGCGACTTTGAAAGACATGATTGACCATCCAGGTTTTACTTTACATAGGCAACTTTGAATAAGACATGGATTAAGAGTAGTTGTTTTTAGTCTTATTATTTTGGACGATCGATCTTTTTATGGGTGAGATAGCTATGTGAAACTATGAGGTTGTTATTTGATATGTATTCCTAACTTGCAAATTATATTTTTCATTGTTAAAAGTATAGGTCCCGACTATTTAAACCACACTACCTCTTCTTATTTGGCGACACCTTTCTCATCTACAATTAAAGTGCAAGGCTTACTACTTTTTTAGGCTGGCCCATTTGTGCATTATGTCACAACTATTGATTACGGGTCACCTAATCATGCCCATACCATTTGATTAGTTTTTAGGAATACAATGAGTTTTCTTTTTTAGACTTCAGATTTTACCCATCACACCTCGAGTTTACCCCATTATGTGAATTTCTTTTGACTTATCAAAATTGCTCGAGGTGTCCCACGCTTCACTTTCCAAACATGCATGATTTGGAAGGTCTTATCATGCTAAAGACCTTAGTAAACTACTTTATCATGTAATTCTTTGATATTTTGAATTGGTTTTCATGTTTCATAGATAATATAAATACACCATTATACGGAGGACCAAGAAAATAGGCTTTTATTGACTAATCACTTTTGAGAATGTGGTTCTTTTATTTTTCTAAAAAAAGAATCTAAAAATAATAAATTTGATCACGAAGGATGATAAAAGAAAATAAGAAGTTAAAGAAAATGCTAACACGTGAATTAGATTGGCCAAAATTTAATGAATATTTAATGCTTTGAACCGAAGAAAGTTATAACTCAAGTGTAATGTTTCTTTATAGCATCCAAAACCGCCGGCTTGGACAATTCGTCGCAATCCATGTTTGTTAGAATGAAAGCTCCACTAGAGAATTCTTTTTTACCACATAAGGACCTTCATAATTCGATGCCAATTTACTCCGATTTGCCCTCGGTATCCACATCATTTTCTTCAATACTAGTTCCTCTGTTTGAAAACTTCTCTAATGCATCTTCTTGTCATATGCTTTGACCATTCTTTTATGATACGATTGGGCATAGCATATAGCAATAAGTAATTTCTCTCTTATCGGATTCGGTTGTTCATATCGATTTTTACCTATTTGAATTCTTTTAACTCGGCTTCTTTTAAGATTTTCATAGAGGGTATTTCGACCTTTAAAGGTATCACTTGCTTCCATTTTGCATATCGGAGAGTAAGGAGTTGCTCATGTCGAAGTTCTAACAACTCGTTCAATAAGTATGGAAAGCAAATGGTAGCATCTTATGCTAGCTTTTGTACAACATTACCATCTTTTGGATAAGCTTCTTCAAGTTCTTATTTGTTGCTTTCACGGCGCCATTCATCTTGGCCTATATGGAGAGGAATTATGGATAAACTTCTTTAATTTTTAAGCATTGTCTATCACTAAGGTTTTAGGAAAGCCATGTCTATAGATTATATCTTTTTCAATAAACTAACAAACAAACTTTTAAGTCACATGCACAAAGGAAGCAACTTTGAACTATTTGCTAAAATAATAAATTTCTCCGAAAATGAAATGGTGCCCATTTCTTGCTTTAGGATTTATTGGTCCGATGACATCCATGTCCCATATTGTAAATGCATAGGGCAATGCCTTGTTGAAAAAGGGTATTGATGGAGCATTTATCCAATCAGCATGAATCTAATACTTATGACATTTTTGAACATAGTCAATGCAATCTTTCTCCATGGTGGTCCAAAAATAACTACTTCACTAAATCTATCGAGTCATTATATGTCCACTAGCATGTATAACACGGATCCCTTATAATCTTCTTTGCTTCAGTTGCATCTAAACATCTTAATGGAGAGCCATCAAAAATTCTTTTGTAAGATTTCACTATCAAGATAAAAATCCATAGATAAGCTTTTTAACATCTTTCTATCATTCTTGGTTGTATCGATCGGATATTCACTACTTTTGATGAATTGCTTGATGTTATGGTACCTTGGTTTCCAATCTTGTTCTTCTTCAATCAAACCATAACGAGTATATCAAGTTATTTCTAGTTTCAATGAATATGGTTTGAATCTTCACCCCATACTCAATTTGAATCATTGAAGTAAGTGTTATTAGCGCATCGATAAAATGGTTCTTCTCTTTACCTAGGTTGGTGAACTATATCTCTTCTAACCGATTAACGAAGTTTGTTAAATACTCTTGATACGGCTTTAGCTTTTCATCTTTCATCTACCACTTTCATTTTTTTCTGATTGATTATGAGCAAAGAGTTACCATATACATCAAGTTTGCTTATCTTCATTTCTAAGGCTACTTCTAGACCATTCACACATACTTCATACTCAATGATGTTATTCGTACCTTCAAACTCTAACTTAACCGCCATGAGGAACTGTCTCCCTTTTGGTGAAATCAAGACTGACCCTATATCATTTTCAAATACATTGATAGCCCTATCAAAATATAAGACCTATATGTCATCCTTCAATTTCGACTCTTCTTTCTTGATCACCATAATTGATTCATTAGGAAAATCAAATCTCAAAGGCTTATAATCGTCTATTGCATTATCTCGCTAAATGGTCAACTATGACACTTTCTTTTACTATCTTCGCTGTCATATATATAATTTCATATTCGGATAACATGACTTGCCATCTTACAATCCGGCTAGAGAGGTATGACTTCTCAAAGATGTACTTAAGAGGATCCATTTTTGAGATTAGCCAAGTAGTGTAATAGAACATGTACTATCTAAGTCGTCGTACACACCACACTAAACCACAATATATCTTCTACTAGTACATCGTATCTCAACTCATAATCAATAAACCTTTTACTCAAATAGTAGATGGCTTGTTCTTTCTTTCCTAACCCATCCTACTAACCTAAGACATTTCCTATGGCTATTTGTATCACTAACAAGTACGGAATCAATGATCTTCCTAGTACATGTGGTACCAAGTTGTCATTAAGCTTTTCCTATTGAGATTTAGAGAAATTGAATATAGAATCTCTTAATAGTGGTGGATTTTGTAAATATTACTTGATCTAATCAAAGACCTCCCGATAGTCTTCATCCCATACATTAAGATTTTTTTCATAAGGATCCGAATATTGGCTCGCAAGTATTGGGTAATTAAGAGATGAAGCAAGTGATATAATTTAAGTAGCACGGAAAGCTTTTGACTTCTTTCTTAGTTGATGCTAAAGGCATACTCTAGATGGCTCGAATTTGTTAAGATCAACTTCAATTCTTTTATTGCTTACTAGAAAACCAAACAATTTCTTAGACTTCACCCGAAGTGCATTTTATAGTATTCGACCTCAATAGGTATTTTCTTAGTCTCTCAAGTAGCTTTCTCATGATTAAACCATGATCCTTCACTTTCTTAGATTTGG